GGGGCTCGATCCCAGGACCCTGGGATCATGGCCTGAGCCAAAGGCGGATGCTTAACGTCTGAGCCACCCAGGCACCCCATCAAATAAAGAAATCTTAAAAAAAAAAAAAAAAGAGCACAAATCTATCATCCTCCAGTGATTAAAATGGAGCTATGACAAGATATTCCAAGATGTCTGTCTCCCAGATTCTAGGAATTTGGGTTTTTAAGTTGCACAGCGGTTCTCTGCTGCCTCACCCTCTGTGTGGTGAGTGAACCTGACGGTGAGAGTAGGGCACTTATGAGGCAAAGGTCAGACGCCAAACCTCGCCTGGGCTCATCAACTTGGACTGCTCTTTGGTCATGGTCTGCAACCCCTGCCTTCCTCAACCTGCTGTCACAGGCCTGACCTCGTTCACAGGGATCCGAGGGTCAGTTCCTAAAAGAGTTTACACAAACCCACTATCATTGCTGAAAAAGTCACTCGAAGGTCAGGATCTCTGGACAGTCACTGGTGTCATCTCTATGAAGGACAGTCTCATCTATGATACTAAGGTTCATTTATCAGACAGACCCATCCTTGTCGTCAACTGGGCCTCTTTGGAGCCCTCCGACTTTACACTTGGCTCAGTTCTTGCAGGCAACCCCTCCTCTGTCCCAGGCCAGTCTGAAAGGTGAGGAGGAGCCCACTACATGAGAAAAAAACCTGGGAAGGTCCTAGAAATAATTCAGGAAGAGGCCTTCCGGTAATGTCTAAGGAGGAACTGACTGAGGACCTTTCACTGGTGAGCAGGGAGAGCCCTACGCTAGAGCTGCTGTCTCCACAGAGGCACGCTGTCCACGGGCTGACAGAGGCGTGGTACTTGCCCTCACACACACACACACACCCTACAAATTCCACCTTCATATCCGAGTGGGGAGCACTGGAGATGAACACACCTCCCCAAAAGCTTTCTCCTGAGCCCCGGAAGCAGTGCACACCGAGACACAGAGCGATGCCTTTCAAGCAGTTGAGCTTAGCCTCCCGAGTGTGAATTCCTTCTGACAGAACCTTACAGTTTTATTTCTGGCTCAGTAACACACCCTCGACCTCTGATGTGAACATAATGAAGTTCCATTTTCAAACCTAAAAAACAGATTTTCATATTTGGTTCTCAAAACCTTGCTAACACCCCTATTTCTAACTGGAATGCATTTTAGTGACAACGCATAACATGCGGCAGATAAGCTCCTGGAAACCTCGATGCATTCAAAGGAGAAAAATACTTAAACCATTTGTTTCTTGGAGCAAGAAAGAAAAGCATACACTTTCCTTATAGGGGGGAAAAGGGAGAAATAATGAAATTTACATACCAGTTTTTCAAAATTGACAAGATTATCCAAAAATGTTTTATTTCCTTCATGAATAAATGTTACATCTGAAAATTAAAAACAAAAAGATATATGTGCTGTTAGGAGTGGATCATGAGTCAGGGCTAAGAAGGTCTAGATGCAGTGTAACTTATTAATTTTTCTTAAACATAGTGCATTATTCCATAATTTGACAAGGCAAATTGAAATTGAATCTGTATGGTATTTGATGTGAAAAGGCATAATTTATGTGTCTGTGTGGGAAGATAACATAAATGCAATGATATATTTTGTACTTACGGTGAAGTGCTTGACTTCAACTTAACCAATATAACTTAACCAGTCCACTATGTTTTTAGGCCAGAATATTGAGCAGAAGAGAACTAAATAACCAGAAACAAAAGAATTTTAATATCTATGTGTTTGCTTTTTAACAATTCCTGGCAAAGTGTATGGGGCCTGCTTTACCTAAAATGTTAGAAGATCTAGATTTAGATGTTTCTTTTTTTTTTTTTAAAGATTTTATTTATTTATTTGAGAGAGTGTGAGAGCAAGAGAGAGAGATTGAGAGAATGACGGGGGTAGGGGCAGAGGGAGAAGCAGACTCCCTGCAGAGCAGGGAGCCCGACAACGTGGGACTTGATCCCAGGACCCCGGGATCATGACCTCAGCCGAAGGCAGATGCTTAACCAACTGAGCCACCCAGGCGCCCTAGATGTTTCAATTTAGATTTTCGGGTCCAAAAGCCAGTGCCTGATTGTGTATCAGAAGTGAGGAAAGGGACAGGTTAGAAAATGGCAAAGTTTCTGGCCCTCCTTGATGGATGCAAAAAAGTATCACTGACGAAAAGAACATAAGGAAAGTAGGATGAAGGTATATTTTCAGAGGAAGGGAAAGTTACATTTGGTTTGAGCCTCGCTGCATTTAAAGTGGCAGAAGATATTCAAGCGAAAATCTCCTTTTGGTTGCAAAAAAACCCCCAGGAAGTGCCTCCTCAAGACAAAGGGATTTGGGAATTAGTTAAAGATAGCAGCTGAAGCTCAATGAGTGGATGACTCATAAAAACTCAGTTCAGAGGGTCAATGACTGAGCACTAAGGGAATCCTCAAAGACAAGAATCAAAGTAAGAAATATATTACAGTTAAAAGAGCCTGCAAATAATCATGTTAGATCACAAACATGGAGAGCAAACCGAATGAAAATTATCTTGTTAAAGTAACCTGACATAAAAGAGGGAAAAGAACAGGTTTAGATTCCTATAAATAGAAAGGGAAAGCATTTGTATCTAATCAAGACTTTTCATTCTGCTGGTCCCTATGGGGCAATTATGAGCTAGGTGCTCTGGAAACCTGCCTCGAATGCGTTTGGCCGCTGAGCTTTGACAGCCCACCAGGGGGCGACACGAGTTACATAGTTACAGGATACCCTGATAACGAACCTTTCCTCAAGGCATTCCTTACGGCTTCCAGTACTGACTGCGAAGTTTTCCTAAGATTTTCCCCCCTTCTTTTAAACTGATGTTCTAACAGGAAAACAATTCACAATTACATGATCATCTGACAAACTCTCTGGTTATTTTATAATCTTTCATGACTTTGCTTTCAGAAAAGAACTACAAACTTTCATTCTGTGTCACCATATTTAGAAGAGAGTAGTCCTGGGGCACCTGGCTGGCTCAGTCAGAAGGGCATGCAACTCCTGACCTCAGCGTTTTAAGTTTGAGCCCCACGTTGTGTGTAAAGATTACTTAAAAAATAAAAAAAAACCTTGGGGTGCCTGGGTGGCTCAGTTGGTTAAGTAGCAGACTTGGTTTCAGCTGAGGTCATGATCTCAGGGTGCTGAGATGGAGCCCCACATCGGGCTCCCTGCCCAGAATGTATGTAGTCTGCTTCAGGATTCTCTCTCTCCTGCTGCCCCTCCCCCAACCTGTGCACACTCTCTCTCTAAAATAAATAAATCTTTTAAAAAAATCTTAGAGAGTAGTCGACCCAGTTAGCTCTTACCTTTTTTTGTGTGGCAAATAGCACTGTGTGCACTCTATCTACATCACACACCGCACACCACCTAAAAGCCTAGTCTCCCTTAACTCCCTGACACCTCAGGTTACAAACGCCATCTCTGAGTCCCTTGGTCCATTTCCCCCGTGTTACATCATTGTCATCCTCTCCCTGTGTTCCCATGGATAATGATGAGGGGTCACGGCAATAATGGCACTCATCTTTATTAACAGCATCAGACACAGCATTAACAAAAGACTGTAAGGTATAGCCCTAGCAGGACAGAATGTGAAGAAATTGTCGGCCAAAGAACACGTAGCTGGCCCACGATCACAGCTCCCCCTGTCCCAGCCAGGATTCAAACCCAGGGAGCCTGGTTCCTCTCACCACTGTGTCTCTCTGGGAGCTCAAGCTGAATAGACCTGGGCATGTCTTACAACCCATCATAGTTGCCTTGCCAGATTTATGGCACATGTAGTGTGTCTGCAATTTTTCAAGTTTCCTTGGTGGCTCCCTCTCTTCTCTCCAGCCTGAGGTCTCTTCTCTTCTTGGGTGGTCTCACTTAACCCCAACCCTCAGGGGCTTTGAGGTCAGCTGATGCTGGCATGAGAATAGAGCAGGGAAGGTGCTTATGGCCAGGTGGGAAGGAGGGAGAGGCCGGAAGGGGCTGCCACCCAAAAGGGGGCTCAAGGGGCTGAAGGCTTTGATGCAGGTGAATGGCAGGTGTGTGAAGAGGAGGGTGTGAGAGAGATAAACCAATAAATGGAAGGAAGGAAGGGAGGGAGGGGGTGGGGGGGAGAAAGAAAAGAAAAGGGAAGAGGAGAGAAAAGAAAAGAAAAGAAAAGAAAAAAGAAAAGAAAAAAGAGACAAAGAAAGAAAGAGAGGGAGAAACCCGGGATCTCAGAACTTAAGCCCTGGGCTATGAAGCAGTTCAGGGTACCCATCAGGCTGAGTGTGTGAAATGAGCACTGTTCATCTGGAGACACCTGAACATTCTCCAAACACTTCATATAATAGAACCACTGGATGAAACGACTCCATTTGGAGATGACAAGTAAAAGAGGAGGAAGAAATATACAAGCACCCTAATATTCCTTTTATTTAAATGCCCCTGCAAATCTGCGGTAGTCATCTTGGCTCTGAGATACACACACAACCCACCAGAGGACCTCGGTTCATCTTCACACACCTGTTGATATTCACTTTGTTGGGAAGGACTACCATCTTCAAAAACACTGCATGGTACAGACTGTTCGGCTGCTTCTGACTTTAGCTCAGCTGGATCCTTTTCCCTACACTTATTTAGGGTTTTCCATTCATCCGCTTTCTGAACGGATTCCATACCACAGTAGGGGGGAAACAAAATCAAAAGGCAAGAATTCAACTGGGAAACAGGAAAACTGATGCTGGAAGGATCCTCAGGTTAAGAACTCACTTGATAATCTTACTTATGCTTACTGAGAACTGACCGGCTCACAAAAATGAAACATGGGAGGCCTAATCCTTCTTAACACCCAAAGAGTTCAATTTGGTCCTTTTTCTCTAACTAACAGTAACCCAAGGTGGGAGGCACAAGGGGGAGAGGGGCGAATTTTCACTAAAAGTTTTGTTGTTCTAAAGTAGTTTATCGCAACTTTAAAAAAAATTTGCAATTAAAAAACCCCCAAATTAATGCTGTTTATTTTTTCCAAAATGTTTTGTTTCAGGCATGATACATACATATTTTAAATTTTCACCCGATATTTCTTTGGAGATTATTTCAGACAAAAACAATAATTTTAAATACAATATAAAGTGGTAATGGTGTTTATTTTTATAATGACAAAATATTTAAAAAGGAAAACTAAGTGCTTATTTAAACTCAAGAAAGCTTCTAACGAAAAAAGAAATAATGTTTAATTTACTAGAGTGAATGTATTTTCAGTAGAAAAAAAGGAAATTTGTTTTGCTGCCAACAAAGAGGTCTAGATAAACTCAGTAAAGCAGAAAATTGCATCCAAGCTAAGACGTGTGAGACACTTGACTGCATTAAATATTTTTTGGGGAAAATCACAAATGTACAGCAAAAAGCACTGCTCATATCTAATTAAGCTAAAGGAACATTGTCAACTAATTTCTCATTACCTTAAAAGTTTTCTTTCAAAATTTTTTCTGCTTAAAATCAATTCCTTTCCCAGATCTGTCTTCATTTCCTATGTTTCCTATTTGTGTCTAAAAGATTCTAAGTGTTACTTCCCACCTGCCACCCCCACTCTCCAGTTGAGGATGTTGTTTTATTTTGCAAATAAAAATCAGAAGCCTGAATAAACTTTTAAATTGTTATTTTGGCATTACAATCTCTCCCTATCCCATCCATTTACATTTAGCAGAATCTTTTCAGCTTGCATGAAGCATCTGCATGCCTCAGTGGTGTTAATAGAGTATTGTTTCAGGAAGATTCTTGCTTTATACTTAATGCAGAATGGATGAGAGGCTGCCGGGATCACAGCAACTCAGTAATTCTGCAAGCTCAGGTTGTTCTAGGGAGAAGCCAAGGAGGGAATATCAGCATCATTGCCAGTGGGGGTAGCGATGGGGGCGGGGTGGGCTGGGAGGAGAATGGCCCTGCCATCCAGCAAACTAGTTCCCGGGCAGCTCATTTCCAGAATCACATTTATGAGTCCAGTTATTGAGGCCAGACCCAGCAGAAATTACAAGCCTCTGAAGGACGGAGGCTATATAAAAAAGTCTTCCCATAAAATCCCTTGGAAAGAATCAAAATATGGCCAAGAAAAATGACCAAATCCCTTTTTCCTGGAAAGCACATAGGTAGGCTATATACTGAATGTTAGCACAGGCCAGATTCAAAAGAACTTCCTTATAATGAACTCCCTTGGTTTGAAAGAGACCACTGAGATCTCATTAGCAAATTTAACTAACATGTTTCGGGATAAATTATTTGGTGCTCTACAGAAGAGAAGTCAGTGGACCAGCTTGCAGCCGTTACATACTTTCCCAAACGGATGCCACTCCTGGAAAGACAGTACATTCTCCACCAATAATTTTCATAAACTGTATTGCTGGGGTTGACCATAGGTATGTCTCTCTCACACACCAGCAGCCTGGCAAATTAGCTCTTGGAAATATAAGCTGCAAATGCAGAGCATGATCTCTGTTTGGGTTCTTTTTCTCAGCCCTCTTCTTAGTTGAATTAAGTGGAGGGTCGACTCCAAGAAAATAAGACTGCACTTAGAAGCAGAGCAAACCCAAAACACAAGTTTCCAGTGCCAAGTTCTGTGAGTCAGGTGAAAATGCTTTGGTATCTCTCAAATACAATTAAGTATTTCAGCTACCTAAGGTATAACGGAGCATGTGAAAACCAACAGCGAGCAAATGTGGTTAGGTTTGAATGTCAAAATTACTCTAAGGAAATATACCAAGTCTCTCTCTCTTTTTTTCTTTAGCCCTGTACAGTTACAGTGATACATTTCTGCAGATGCAACTGGACAGCATAAAAGACAGAAAATTGTTACCTTTAAGCAACAGGGGCATGAATGGGATTTTGGGTGGTTTCATCTTTTTGAATGCATCTCTGTAGGCTTTGTGATTCAAGGAAGGATCCTGCCAAACCAAGCGGATTATAAAGAGAAAGAAAAATCAATGTGCTATAGAAACAATTCTAAATCCACTTTTGCTATACAATTTGAATATGATGTAGATATCAAGAGGTTCTTTCTCAGAACAAAGTAGATAAAGGTCTCCTAGGAGAATAAACTCACTAAATTAGGGCAGGAAATGTAGGCAATGAATAAAAGTCAACTTAGTAGTTTACAATAATGGGAAATGACTGCAAAAGGGAGGCACCTTTTGATTGCCCTATTATTTTCCTCAAATAGGTTCTTTAAGTACAGTTTCCTCTGCATAATTTCTATCACGAGTTAACCCCAAAGTCTTTTGTAGGTACACTGCAAAGAAAAACCTCCCTCATAATGCACGGACAATACATAGAAAATAAGAGAACACTGTTTTATTGTGTTCTGACAAGCACCTAGACATTTTAAAAAATCTAAACCTAAGAAATGGTAGAAAGGAGAAAAAGGAGAAAAGAATCATGCATAAGATATTGACTGCACATTCCATTTATACCAATTAATTTTGTAGACATTTGAAATGGACTATATACTTAAAAATCTGCATTCTGGAAATCATGTCAAAAGGACCATTCTCACTACCTTTCTCCATGGAGAGGAAGAAGCATTAACTGCCAACTTCTTCCCTCCATAAGAAGGAAAGCTATAGTTTAATGTACGAGTGATCTAGTCGAATGTACTAAGTGATCGAGACTAGTGGTCTAGTCTAGTCAGACAGGGTGAAGTGTGGGTCCTAGCCACTGCAATCTAGAAAGAAATTCGGCGCTATCAATTGATTTGAAGAGTAAGTCCCGTTTGGCTCACTACTTACTGTTAAACTTTCAAGTTCAGAGAAAAGTTTCTTAAACTTCCCAGGGATTTTCTAAAATCAAACAAACAAAATACAAAGAAGAAAAGGTCAAAGAAGTCTGTTACTTTCAGAGGCACCAACGGGGGAAAGTTTATTAAGCTGAGCTTCCATGTGTCACGTTTCTGACCACAAACACCTCTATCATTTGATTCTACCCCGATTGCTTCTCATTATGCAATCCTCATCATTCCTTAATGTGACATTCCCTTGGAGTGTTGCTAAAAACAGTTTAAAATAAGTAACGGCCACATGACTCAGGGATCTAGCTGGTTAGACATTCCACACACTGGTGATTTTTCAATACAAACTGGGATTTCAGTTCCATATCCCACTTCTGGCGAATGCTCTCGACTTCTCACAGAGTCTTGCTGAATGGGAAATAGTAATACTGGCTGGCATTTTTTCTGCTTAAATGATATAACTGCATTTCACAGCAGAGGGCTAAATGGTGAAAGGCCATAAAAACCCTAACTGACGAAGCCTGCACACCAACGGGTAGGATCGCTGAACTGCAAAGATCCCCTACACCAGCAGGTGGCATGGGAAGTCACAGAGGGTAGAAACTCAGGCCTTCCCTAGTAGTCAGTCAATCTGAATTTGAATTCCCATGCTGCCCCTTTCCAGCTGGGTGGTTTGGGGTGAGTCTCCACTTGCCCTCCTGGGGTCCAACGGGAATTGGTTCTGGACCTCCTCCATTACCACACACTCTGTTCTAATTGGTCCGGCCCATCATGGATCAGCCATGGCACGGATGCAGAGCCCTGCACATAGTAGGCCATCCACATGCCCATGAAATGCATGCCGTTTGAGTTGAGTTGAATTCTTTCTCCTCTCAATTTCTGCACCTCAAGCCTTCTTTCCAGGTTTAATTCAAATTCCACTCTCCTCTGACCCTTGCTGGCCACTGGTTTCCCCCCTGCTCTGATGGATTGTGGCAATGGTTGTCCACCTCCTTTCATCTTATGATGCACGCGCAGGTCTTGTTTGCTTAACCAGGGCAGGCAAGCCTTTCGTTTCTTTTCTTTTGCACTCCTCTAAGGAGCACTGACCCTGACCTCAGGTCACCACCACGCATTCCAATGGAGAATGGCCCCTGATGCAAAGAAAGTGAATCCCTAAGATGCTCAGAGCCCTGTGCTGACATCTCATGTAAGAAAAAAAATAGTTGGCCTATCTTGCAGGAGTGAGAACTGGGAACCATATACAGAACGGAGTAGTGACAGGAGCTGAAGCTGAGGGGACTGGAGAGAAGCTAAGGAGAGCGCATGAGCCACATGCAGGTCAGGGCCATCAGGGAGCAGCCTTGATGGTGAAAGAGAAAGGCGGAGGGAGAGAAATGGTACACGCAACAAGGTAGCCAGTCAACAGGGAACAGAGAGAAACAAACAAAAGCCCAAAGAAAGAAGGTGATGGGGCCAAGGGGGAGGCCAGAGCCCTCTATCTGTGTCTGGCCACACTCAGGGATGCCCCAGTTTCAGCTCTTCCCACATATGCCCTTAGAGTCCATGTCCCAGAGCTTGGGTTAACTTGAGTGGGCCTCTCCATCTGAGAACCCAGGTAGACCCCATCATGCAACAGGGACACAGAGAGAACCCAGACTTGGGAGGCCTGAAACTTAACACTTTGTGGGCCCTCCTTGAAAAAAAGAATACAAAATTACTTTACTTCTGCAAATTTTACAAAGGTATACATCATCCACGTGAACACACTGCCAGGGGGGGCCTGCAAGAGAGAGGCCTGGAAGCTTACATTCACTAGCATCTCAGCAAATCTGCTTCCCGACATGTTACCACTTTTGAAAGGACCAACATGGGGCTGGAACCACACAATCATGGCAGCAGAGCAGAAAAAAAATTCTACCTGTGGAGCATTTTACAATTTTTATCTCCTTCATATATATATATGTTATGTATATGAAAATACATATAATATATATTTCATGTATTTTATATAAATAGTAGAACCATTTTGAAGACCATTTGATCAAAATAGTCCAACCTGACACATTCATTTTTAACTTTTTTTTTCCCTAGTAGTACTTATTTAAACCATCTAAATCAATTTATTTTAAAGAAAGGCCTTTCACTGGAACATTTTCCGTTCAGTTTTATTTATCTCTAACACCCTCTCCCCTTTCCACATGGACCCCCAAGGCTCACCTCCCAGGTCTGCGACAGCCGGCTGACAGAAGCAGTGTTGAGACCCATCACAATAGCAAAGAAAGAATTCAGGTTTCTCTGGGCTTTGCAGCTACGGAATAAAGAAAGCACAAGGTACTTGGAGCAACATCCTTTTGCCAGATGACCACAAAAGATAAAGCTGAAAAGACTCTCCTAGGCCACAGAGTTCAAAGTCCAGGGCAGCGATGAAACTCTGCTCCAAGACCAACACACACTGAGTGCCCCTGTGTGTGTGTGGGGGGATGGGTGGTGTCCCCTCCACCGTTCCTCACACAGGTGACAGATACCAAACACTCCAGCTCATTCTTACCTCTAGGAAAAGATCTGTGCTCCAGACACCCTCTGGACACTTCAAAAGATTCCTCCTTTAAAAAAATCTATTTTGGATGATACATTTACGATTTCAACTGAAAACTCTTGAATTCACGTTTCTTTATATGTAACATACTCTCATTGTAACAGCTCTCTTGTCCCATCTCTGTACTCAGGATGCTGTCGTTATGTTTTGACAGACAAGCCCCTCTCACCTCACCCCTCACCAGCCCAAGCTCCCCCTGCCATGACATTCAGGCGCATTTTCTTTGCCATCAACCATATAGCTACTGTATTATGTATCTATGTAAAATATGGCATGTATTGTGGGGATACTGTCCCATGTTTCTCATTTAGAGAAAAAAAGGCGGAAATAAAGTGCAAAATAAAATCACATTGAGCTCCATTCACTCTGTAAGCTTATCTGTTCTGCATAACGTCAATCATGCCCTTCAACCTAATTGGTCAAAATTCCACTCATTTTCAAAGCCTGCGGAGGAGGCTTGGTCTCCCAGGTCAGCCAGGACAGCCTGTGGGTTCCAGACACTCCTTCATCTGGGGCATTTTAAAAAACCACTTCTCCAAGCAAAGTTTTTAAAATTAAGGAATTACTCTAACTTGATAAATATGAAGAAATACGAAAGTGCTCAACAGTAAGCCGGGGCATAAAAAGTACCAGCTTGTCCCAGATGCCCCCTCTTTTCCACCGCATCTCCACCAGGGGCTCATATGGAACTTGGGGACAGTGTATGTGTAACTCCAAGTCCTGCTTTTTCAATTACACTGTGTTATAGCGTGTATTATTAATTCTTCACTATCATCATGAATGGCTATATAACTTCATCAAAAACATTTCATGATTTGTTTACTTATTCACCTATTGTTAACATTTAGGTTATTCTCAATTCAATTCAATACAGAATGCTACAATGAGTATCTTTGTGCATAAAACTTTTTAACTGGATTTATACTTCCTTTAATTAAGTGAGACATTCAGTCATTCATAACATGATTGGTCAAAAGCTATCTCGACGTTAAAGGTTCTCGACACATACTAAAAACCGTCCCCCAAAACGGTACAGCTTTCCGGCAGCACAGGCTGCATATGAAAGTATCTAGTTCAGAGCCAGGAGAATGGATGGGGCTGCTTCCGGAGTAACACACAGAGCTGGCTGTGCCTGGCAGGTCCTCCCTACGTGGGCTGCTCCCAGGGTCAGTCGGGGGCTGCATACTGCCCAAGTACAGCTGGGCCTGGGCTCCAGGGCAGACAAGGTCCCACCAGGGAGCATGTGGGAAGTTCTGTCCCCATAATAGTGGAATGTGGAAAGACACTGCTGCCTCCATACCTAGGGTCCGAAGTATCTGGGGTAGATACTGTCCTGCAGGCCCCTCACTGCGGAGCCTCCATGGGCATGGGCTGTGCCTCTCAGAGTCTTCCTTGCCCGGTGTCTGGCCCTGCCTGCAGCTCTGGGGTCGGCGAGAGGACCCGAAACTCAGTCTAACTGGCCCCTTCATCTGGTTTCTACCAACTTTCTCCTGGGTGGATGCTGCTGGTATATTCCATGAATGAACACATAAAGATGCCTCTGGGTCAATGATTTAGAAATCCACCTGTTTTTGTAAATTATCGGTGATCAAAGGCACCCATACTTGGCCTCTGCTTCCCTTTCTGTCTCATCACCCCCCTGGAAAGTTCACACCAGCCAGAACAGACGTGAGGCAGCTCCATGGCTTGGTGTGCTGATTTGAGGTTCCTCTGTGGAGAGGTTCCTGTGGTTGGGAGAACTGTCCCGCCCCTGGGCCACAGGCACCTCTGTGGGAGGCTCTCTCTGACTCCCAGGTCCTCCCACTTACTACATGATGGAAGCCCACGGTCCTGTGATTCCTCACTAGACTTTAGGTTCCTCACAGCTAGAGGATATATCCATTTCATTTTTATATTCTGCCCGTCACCCAAATACCCAGGATACAGCAAGCCTTTCGGAGAGCATTTGCTGGAGTTGAAAACAAGACTTTTTGGGGAAATGGTTTTATTATTATTCATTATAAAAAGGTTTATTACTCCTCTTTTTATTTGGCATCATTTATCTGTCTGGAATCTCAGATAGAATTCTCATCTTTTTATCTTTTAGCTCCCATCAACAATTTTCCTGGCTCAGATCTCTTTTGTAGTTATACTTACAATAAAAAAAAAAAGCACATATAACTAACGTCTGAACCTATAGAAAGAAAAAAAATGCTTTCTCTAGAAGACAAATTGATACAGTACAAATATTGGATACCAATCTGGTCTGGAATCCTTTGTTACCAAGGTTCGTTCATTCCAGGATAAGAACAAACTGACACTGAAACATTCCAGTTTAGCAAACATTCCTTTGTCTGTGTGAGGGTATAAACTCCACTCAGTCCACAGAGGTGGGGGATGGGGAGGGCGAGAAGGAAGGGAAACATGAATATGCAAATAGATGCCTTAGGCAGGGGAGACACTTCATGATCATGGAAATTACTGTTTTCCCTTGGTTATTCCTACTAGTGTGATTATGAGGAATTTAACTTTATGTTTCTGTTGGCATTCTATTCCATGGGCTAGGGATGGAGAGACCAGTACAGTAAATAATTCAAGAGCACGGGGCCATATGGAGAAGATGTGAATATATTTCATTTCCCTGAGGATAGATATAATCTTATACTGGAACTAAGCTGTGTGGTGTCATTTTACTCCTTGGGACATTAATGTCCCATTTCTCCAAATAACTGGCATTTATAAGAAAGCTTTTGATCCAAAAGAGCCTCACCTTTATGAATTTCACAGGCCATTTGGAATGCACTGGCTAAATAAAAAAAAAGGAATATTCACCATAAAAACTGTCCAAGATTTAGGAATATCTGTTGTATCTCTCTCCTTCCATTCCCAGTCACACCAAACACCAGGTTGGGTACTTCTATTATCTCTTGCTAGGTAAACAAGATACCCTACTTCTGGGGGGTCTCTTTGCCTATAGTTCAGTATATGTGCTACCTTCAGATCAACCTTCCTGAGGGACAGCTCTGATCGTGTCAGTCTCCTGCACAAAAATTGCAATGAATCCCTGTCTTCTCAATTCAACCCAAACTCTTCGATCTGAAATTCAACATCCTTCACAATTTGGTTTTATCTTACTTGGCAGATTAATCTCCCACAATTTCTGTATAAATAACACTCCATTCTGGTGAAAGTGGATGAGGCTCCTTTCCCTGACCATATGCTGTCTGCCTCCACTGAACCTCTCTGCCTCCCTCCTCCAGTGAGTTTCACCTCCATGGAGAGTAAGCACTTCGGAATTCTTATCTGTCCAGGTCCCCCCAGAATTCAAACACAGCCTTGAATGCTACTTGTTTGCGAATCCTCCTTTTCCACATCATTGGCATACGAGCTTCCCCTCTCCAAAGCCCCAGCAGAATCTGATCTCAGAATAAGGCACCCCCTGTTCTATTTTGCACATTAGCCATCTGAGTTATCAAAGTACCCCTTCAGCAGGTTGCAAACTCCTCAAAGGCATGGATTGGGTGTAGGGTCAGTCTGGTTTCCCAATGGAAATGCATGGTTCCCTTGCAAGGATCTGTACAAGTAATGAGTGATCAATACATAGTTCCTGAACATATTACACTGCTGTATACTCCAAAACTGTTTGATGTAAAGACTATTTTGGAAGACAAAGGAGAAATAAAATGGGAAATAGAAGCAACTGGGAAAGATTCTCATTCACACTGCCTACTTCTGTTGGGAGGCTGTCCGAAGAGCAGTCTCAGGATACTAATCTGGTATTTTAAGAGATGCTCTCAGCAAGTTACTAAAATGTCATTCAACTAACCTTTACTGAGTCACTGCTATTTACCAAGTTCTGCATCAGACATATCAGGTTTGATTAGTCAATGTTTGATTAGTAATGGCCCCTGTCCTCTGGAGGCTAACACAGCCAAGTGAAGGGATTCTATATAAACAGAGAAGTTTAATAAATATAATAAAAAAGTTAAAAGGGAAAAAGCACGTGTGTGAGGGAGAGTGGGGGCAGGGAGTAGTTCACCCTGCATCTGAAAGTCAGAGATGGCTTCAGGAAGGAAGCAACCTTTGACCTCGGTCTTAAAGAATGACAGCAATTTGCAAGGTGGAAGTGGTCATTTCGGCAGAGCCAACAATGCCGCGTCCAGGCCTGGAGGATGGCGTGCGTGGGACAGACAGCCATTCAGAGGGGCTGTAGCATGGCGCGCACCCAGTGGGGGAGGCTCCGAGTTCAGGTGGGACCAGCCTGGGCTGGGCCTGCTGAGGAATTTGCAAAGTCCACACTGTGGGCATCAAGCAGCCAAGAACAGAATCCTAGAGTGCACCTGATTTGCAGTGATTCTACCCTCTCACGTCATCTTCCCGGTTTTCCCAGCCTGCTGTAGCTCGCTGGCCACACTGTAGTTCAGCTGAGGGACAGAGCACGTGGGCGCTGGCTGCTTAACCGTCCTGCAGCACGGAGCAGGGGGTTGGAGTATTTTGGCATTGGTATTTTGGCATTGACTTTAAAGTATAAGCACTTCAAATGCAAAGACATAAATATTCAAGCACAGACCTTTTCAATCATTTGGTCACTTAACTCAGTATTCTACTTTTACCTTCTGACCCTTCTTATCATCACAAGGGGAAAAAGTGTACTCTCTCAAGGAGACAAGAGGAATTGCCCTTTTCACCGCCAGGAACTCACTGTGCAGCGATTTTGATGAATTTTTTCACCAGCTGCACTCGCTTGCCCAGCTGGCTGCAGAGCAGGATCTCCGTGGCCACCCAGAGCTGGACTTCATTGCATCTCTGCAGCAGAAGGCTGAGGTTTGCGGTGTGCTCCCCACTGCCTTGTCGGCTGAAGGTGAAGTAGATCAGCTCTTGCTGCAAGAAGATGGATTCACACCAGCATTTATTTTTAGCACAGAGACAAGCTGATACAAAAGTCAGTCCATTTTTAAGAGCTGCCTCAGTTCGCCACTCTCATAATGTGTCATGAAAATAGAACAATAGATTCAATTTGAAACAATGCAGTTTTAGAGATGCCTTATTAAATAATGTTCACCTAGAATCCTCAGGAAAATCTTATTTTAGAATGTGCAGATGATACAGTTTTACATGAAAATCTAAGAAGTTCTAAAGTTTAAATCACAGGCTGAATCAAATCCAAACTTCCTGAACTTGTTATACCGGCAAAAACAAGTAGAAATGATTGTCACTAGTATAGGGAGATTATTTTGACAAGGGCTCTCAAATTTTAGTGTGAATCAGGATCACCTAGAGGCCTGTTACAACAGCTCGCTGGGCCCCATCGCCCACATTTTCTCATTCAGTAGGTCTGTGGTGGGGCCCCAAACCTGCATTTATAACAAGTTCCCAGGTGGTGCTGCTGATGCTGTCCCACTCTTTGAGAACCACGGATAAAAGATACAGTAAAATCATAAACAGAAAGAGAGTGAGATTAGGGCTAGGTCCAAAATTTACAAAATTGAGCAAGACGAGTGACTATTTATATAGACTGATCATATGCAGAGCAACAGAAGAGATTTGTTTTTAAATGAAGGGGTGTGCGCACTCTCCCATGCTCCCACTGAGAGAGCAGCACAAGCAGGGACACATCCTACTCTTACTAACATTTCCAAAGACACAAATCATTTAGCTTGAAGGAGTTCACTACTTGCTTAAATTTAGATGATAACGGCATTTTTTTAATGAGGACATTTAAAAGACATTCCAAAATGAAAGTGAAGCTCAAGCCCCAAGTTGGGCATGAGATTCTTCAGAAGGAAAGGCTGTTTTGTAATGAAAAATTTCCCTACATGGCAAAGCAAATGCAACATATGGTTGCACAGAGCTGTCTCATTTTTCATCTCCTGATTCCTGTGAGCCTTTCCACTGGCTACATTTATTCCTTAGTTGTCAGTAGTATTTTGTCCCTAATCTATTATCTTATAAATGTTTAAGCTGTCTTCAAAGGGAGGGTTGATGAACTTAAAAATTTGAAATATATCTCCGAAGTTTCAAGAAAGTACTTTAAGTCTTGCAGCATAGTCTAAATGTATAGAATGTTCTTGAGGGAAAGAATGACTCTATGTGTATGCTGGTATGTGCATAAATATGATTCTTGTATCGCTACCATGAACTTTATGGAAAAAATAAAAGAATCAATATCAAAGTTGTCAAATGTAAAATGGCTCTTCAGTTTCATTAGAGCTTCATAAACATGCAAATATTAAGTATTCACACGTATAAAAATACAGCATTTTTATACTACACATATGATTACATTAGGAACAAATAAAGCATGATCATGTATTCTGATTTTCCTAGGTTTGGGTCAGTCTTTCAATGTATTTCAAGTCCCCAAAAATCTTTTGGGCTATGGCATCCTAAGCATAACTATATCACCGGATGATGGATCTTCTTAAAACTGAGTCACATACAAATACTCTTCAAAAAGAATGCAAAGTTAAAATAGCACTAGCATTTTTTATCTTTTCACTCCTTAACTTACCTCGTGAATCGAATTGAAGAGACTCCAATCAAAGTTCATTAATTCCAGAGCAAGATCCCAAGTGTTCATTCCCAAAATCCTTATCGACCTTTGCTGTGATTCCTCATTTTCTGCAAATGGGTTCTAAACCGACAGACAGAAGCAGAAGGATCCTCAGTAATTCCCAAATGTTTGGCGCTGAACTGGCTGGCCACAGAAAAGCCACTAGAAGCCCAGATTAGGAAAGTAATCTTGTCTGAGTGCACTTAATATTTTCCCTGGTCTGTTCATCTTTGGTGAGTTACAACCAATTTGGGAAACAGCCTTGGAAACGGCAGAATGTGATCAATGATACTTCACTGAGTTAGCCTGCCCCTCCCCCCAGACACACACACACACACACACACACACACACACACACGCCCGCGCGCACATGCACGCATCCACAAATCTGATTATAAAACACTGCCCCAGCAGACAGCGTAATGAAAGCGAAAGCCCTGAAATCACTTTGGCTTCTGGTAAGAATTAATGTGCCAGCAGGTCAGTATAAAAACAAACAAAAGAAATGTCATGGTGCACTTCAATAAAGACAGACATGGCTTTTGCAGGAAATACGTTTAACAAGCCTCATCCCAGACACACATTTACAAATTTTATTAAAATGCCTGTGGAAAGTGAAAAAAAATTTAAACAAGAAATAAAAAGTAAGTTACTTCATTTATACCCCATGGCGGATGATTATTTTAAGTATCTGTGGCTTTACCTACACAAATAGGTATGAGTCTGGTAATAGCATTTCCTTAAAATCTGGCATGGAATTATTAAATGTCACCAAAACTTTAAATATTTTGTCACTGTTATTGTTAAAAATTATTTGGCATTTAAAAAAAAATATTTGATATTTTCTAATTAAAGTACAAATTCTCCAGGGGCATCTGGCTGGCTTAGTCAGTAAAGCACATGATATTGGGGTTGTGAGTTTGAGCCCCACATTGGGCTTAGAGTTTATTTAAAAAAAAAAATTCTCCCATTGAGGGGTTGGATTTGAGTAGTTAGTGATGTTAAAATTATTAATGACTTGGAAAAAAAGATGGGACTTTGCAAAAATAAATGACATGCCAGGATGAAGAGAATATTTCAGGTTCCGAATATTAATTCCTATTTTAAAACTGCAAAATTATTTGCATTTTACAAGTTTTATTGTTATGAAAAGGTTTCCTAATTTGAAGGAAAAAAAAAAAAAAGACAAAAGGCCTCCCCAGAGCTTCTCCACAGACTTGATTCTTTTCAGTGCAGGTCAAGGTACAAATTGTCCCTGTAGCCCAGAGTGGGACACAGTGGGGAGCTCAATGAGGGTGGACTGAAAGAATGCGTGTGCAAATACTGAGTAGGGGAAAGCCCACGTTTCTCATGGCCTGATTAGTTTGGAACCAGATAGATGCCATGCTACACTGCAGGCATTCAGAGGGAGAGCCAAGAGCTGGGAAGTAACATAAATCTCTGCATACTAATTTGGAGATGTAAGGATATTTTCACTTGGCTTTTTATCCCTCCTGCTTTTTCTCCCTAAATGCACCCTTTGCCCTGGTACTGCCCTCTGGTTGTCCAAGGCTGTCTACGGCCCTCTCCAACAAACACTTCCTATTTCTCTAACCCATTCATTCAGGGCTCTAATTCCCACCTTCTGAGAAGAGTAACTCATCTATATGTAAGTGGAGTGGGTGCTAGTGTTTCCGCATGTTATCTATCCTGCCCTTAGAATATTCCATTTCAACTGAAATCTTTCGGAGATAAAACACTGAAAGCTAGGATTCCAACAGGGGAATCTCAGGCAGGATACAGAGTTGGAAACGTTTGAGGGCAGGATGGCAACTGGCTTATCTGGGAACATACTTCAGAGCACCCGTTTATTCCACTAGGACATTGCTTAGGCCTGCCTTCTACTCTTCTGAAGCTGGCCCCAGATGGTGGTAGGAGAGCTCTGGAACTACCAAGAAGTCTATGGGTCGTACGAGAAAGGAGGGCATGGAAGACAAGAGTGTGAGTTTCCACCATCATCCCGGAGCTCCACAGAAGCCAGAGGGTAGATCGTCCTCCTTCATAGGGAGGGTTAAAGTTAACCCAGTCTCACTGTTTACTCAAGGATGCTGTGCATCCTGTTCATCATGGTTCCCTGATGGAATTACCTCATGCACAGACACAGGACCTGTGACCTGCTGAAGGACACTCCGAAGCAGAAAGGCCCAAGTAAGACAAAAGTTTCCCTCTGCTTTGCTCCCTCATCATATACAAATGAAAGGTATGTTAGAGCTTCAGAAGCAAATATTGGCCTGGAATCCTAGCACTTTCCCTTACTCGGCTGCAGGAAGCTAGAGTAAGGGACTCCGCCTCTCTGACCTTCACAGGGTTACTGGGAATATTAAATGAGATACTGTATGTAAACTACCCAGCACCTAACTGTCTGGTAGTAAGTGCCAAAAATGACAATGATTCGTATTCTGGTAGGTTGATACTTGTAGATAATTTTACATAAAATATTTTTATTACAAGCAGTTTTGGTTAACCCATGTGGTATATACATTCCTCAATTATAAATTCAACAGGAGTCACCTAGAAAGAATCATCCCAGTCAGTGATGGCTCCATGAAATAGACTAGGACCATGTCTCTAGATGATACTATCACCATCTGGCAGAGCCTGCTCTTTATGGGTGATGGGTCTGAGGCCTGATCCTACTTTGCAGAAAGCAATCACAAGGCTGAGGTTTTTAGGAAAGTAAGAATGACAAATCATCTGCTTAGGTGTAAATGTTCTTACATTTGAAATGAAAATAACTTACAGCATGGGTTCTACATTTCTTCCAACTCTTACTCCTCACCGGCATCCCATGTACCATTGTTATGAGCCTATCTTAGAGGGGAAGGCTGATAATTGACCCTTTCTTCCAGGGAATGGTACACTCAAAGTGTGCCAAATAGACTGAAACAATACAGTCTCTTTCCCCCTAAATTTGCACAGGGTACCTTTCTCAGCCTGATCTCCTCATACCCATCAAAAAAGAAGGAAGGGAGTTAAGATTAATGGGGGGGGGTTACTTCTCTCATATCCCTTGTTTCAGAGGCCCAGAGGGAAGCAGGATTTGACTCAGGAAAGCCTTAGGATTCCTCAAGGTGTACCTGTCTTTGATTTGCAAAGGTGGTGTTGTTTGCCAAGTATATTACTGGCCAGAGGAGGAAGTAGTTCAATGTGTTTCTCTAACATTCATTATAAAACATACAAAAATACGACTTTAGTCTGCTGTTGGTGTTTCAAGTAAAGGCTAAAAGTCCTTACCAAAGTGTCAGCTAGGTCTTTTCTGTAGACATATATCCGACCTGATGCTTCCAGGGATTTGGAGATGGCCAAGTCATTTGGCTGAAGTTCATGCTTCTCTTTATTTAAAAAAAAAAAAAAACAGTAATTAGAAACACAAGAACAGTAGTAGGCATACACAGTATATCTAAAGAGTGAGAATTGCCAAAGAAAAATATTTAAAAGTACATAGAATGCAGATTTAATTCAGTTCTGCAAACTGTGTTCAATGGCACCAATGGGACCATGGACATCACTGCTCAATATCCATAAAGTGGAAGCCTTTTACAATTCCTTCTTACAATATTTAGTCATTTTTTTTAGAACACAGTTTAGGAAAGAAAGTAAAAATCACTCATAATCCCATCACTCGGGGATGCCTGGGTGGCTCAGTCCATTAAGTGTCTGCCTTTGGCTCAGGTCATGATCCCAGGGTCCTGAGATTGAGGCCCACGTCGGGCTCCTTGCTCAGTGGGGAGCCTGCTTCTCTCTCTGCCTTTCGCTCCCCCTGCTTGTGTTCTCTCTCTCTCACTCTCTCTCTCACTCTTGCTCTCTGTCAAATAAATAAATAAATAAAATCTTTAAAAAAAAAATAATAATCTCATCACTCTAAGATAACCATAGGATGGTAATGTTGGTAACATTTGGGTATGTTTTTGTTCTGATCTTGATGTAAATGTGTATAAACAACATCCACGCATACGTATGATTGCAATTATTTACACATATGCATTCATAATTAGTATGGGTACATACATATACATTTGCAGTTATTCCATATATGGTTTTATATTCTGATTTTATTAAGCACTTATCCACTTGTCAAAATTAATTACGTCTGTCATATTTAATTGGTTACATAACAGTCCATTGTACCATCATGTAATCTTTCCTCTATTGTTGGCCAATTTAACAGTTTCCAATGTTTTTGTCTTATCAATTAGATGGCAAGATATATATAAATACTAGCATGGGGTCTGGCACATAAGAGGGGCTCGATAAATGGGATCTATTATTATAGCAGCCATAATATATACTGCTGAAGTCAGCATCCTTATGCATAAATCGTTGGCTGCTCATAGATGATTTTTAAAAATAGATTCTCAGAAATGGAATTACTAGGTCAAAGGGGAATGAATATTTTTTGAAGTTTTTGATACAAACTGCCAAATTGCTTTCAAATTCTTACACTGACCAATACTGATCATTCCTTGTGGTAAGTTTGCTATTTAGCTAAAACCAAAAATAGATTCTCCGTTTATTTTAAATTTCTTGACTACTGGAAAAGCCAAGTATTTCTCACATATTCTTCTCTTTCCCTTATTACAAATTATTCCTGTCCCTCAGCCATTTTTCTACCATCGTTGGAGCTCTCTTATAACACAATAGCCTTCTTTGTAGAAAAATGTCCTCCTCTTAACTACAAATTACAGATGGGAATTGACTAAACTAATCCTCAAGTTTATTGCACTGTAACATGATCAGCTTCTAAGTCAGCCTTTTAGTTACCCAGCATGGTTGGGGAACACTATATTCCATATATCTTTTTCTAGATAACTTAATCAGTTCAAAGACCAAGTTTTGTTTTGAACATTTCTGCTTAATACCAAGTACACAAATGATAATCCAATATATTCTTTATGGCCCAGCATTATAAAGATCAATAGCACTTCCGTGTCAGGCCATTGACGTGTGTGGTAAATGATCCCACATGGCTGGGCTCTGAAGTTCTTCCATCTCTCCTCCCTCTTTCTCTAGCTTCAATTTCTTGCAGCCTTGTGTGTGCCTATGTTCACCTTACATCAGAATTTATGAGAGCCATTCTGCCCTTGCTACAGAATAAAATGCCATGGCTTTCTGACAGTAACTTTTCCATTTTCTGGGAAATATTTTTTTTCTTATTTTCAGGTTTGTCACTAAACTCTAAAAGATAAAAATTCATAGAATTTTAAGCTCTGAAAAACTAGGCAGGTAGGTTTCTGTTACTACATACATTATACCTACTCAGGGTATAAAGCTAGAAACCTACTGAAAGCCATGAGGATAATAGCCCCAGTCCTTTTAGAAAAATCCACAAAACCTACAACATTTGCAACATTTTCAAACTTTTTTTGACAAAAAGAAAATAAGAGTAGATCTCACTGTCATTTCATTTTGAAGTAGTATCTAAAACATTATTTACTAAAAATTAGGTAATAGAGCAAGGAATACATTAAACACTGTTTTTCTCCTTTTTCTTCATAAAGCATTATTGTTTGGAAGATATGAAGCTACGGGCGGAAAGGTTCTTAACAGACCAAAGTACTAATTGATGGGAAATGATGGCACATTTCCAAATCTGTGGGATAATTCAGGAGATAAGCTGGTATTTCTAGAGAAGATTAGCAATGAGTCTATACACATTAGAACGACATTGGCCTCCCTGATGAATCTAATTTAATAGAGTGTAAAAATGGTATTTCATGGCCATCAAATAGATATTGGATAGTAAAAGAGCTACTCATTACTTTCCAGATTCACGTGTGGCCCTGGGCTGAGTCTGAGTCAGCCCCAAGGGAGAGGGGTCTCAGTCATGCTACCAAGTTCACTCAGGGTCCTTCCTCCTCCAGAATGGGGACCTGATGACTACTTTCTGTCATGGTACTTTCTTGAGACGCAAATGTTGGTTTTGATGAAGCGTAATACTGTTTAGAATCATTTAATATTTTTGGTCACTTAAAATTAAAATATGCATTTAGCGTATCTATCTGGAATGTCTGAAATATTTTATTAAAAATTCAACACTCTCTGATTAAAATTCATGTAGCCCAGATGTTTCTCCCACTTCTGCTCTTTTTCTCTAGATAATGTTTTGATGGGATGCACAATTAGGGCCCCGTGAGAGGGAGGAGAGACTCTCATTAGGCCCAGGGAGAAGGGCTATACACTTTGCTTATGCAATCCGCTAGCTTATAGGACCATTTACCTGCTTCTGAGTAACAAAGCAATAGAAGATTCTGTCACAGAAATGCTTTAACACCAAGTTAAATTCTCATCTTCTCCTCCTTCCCCTAACATGATAACAAAGGATAAACAGGAACGCCGGATATCGGCTCCCCCCCTCCTTCTTGCCACATCTCTGCTTGATTAGTTCACATAGTACTCCCATTTTTCAACTACTGATGCTAAGTCACTTTCTTTGTATTTTTCTCAGGGTTAATGAGATATTAAATAAAGATTGTAAGCCAAAAAGGAGGCCAGCAACATTGAGATCTGACAGGCCCCAGTGAAAACGAAGGGGTCTGTTCAGGTCACATAGATCAATAGTGTCAGCTTGTAATCTGTGTGATCTTATTCAAAACAGACAATAAACCATTCTCCGAGGATAAATAAGGCCCAGCAGAAGGAAAAGCTATAACCAGACCTCACTCCCCACGTCCACCTGAACGAACACTGCCTGTGAGCTTTCAGCTTATTGGAGTTTTTATTTCCTTCAACGGGGAGTCTTTTTAAGTATTAAACTGTCAGCCAGCAATATGACTAGTTCAAGGCTGTCTTTCTTTTTCCTTCCTCAAGTAATTTCATCCTTTAGCAATTTCCCAAGTTAATTTAAATATGAAAATAGAAGGCTTATCTAGAGTATAAAATATGAAAAGCTTTATAATATATTTCAAAACACTGGCATGGCCCTTTATTCAGTTCTTGGGGAGGAAATTCAGGATCCAACAGTATCCGGCTGTTGTCATGGAAACGCCTCCGCTAGGCAGCTTCTTATTGTTACTGTGGTCATCCAGCTGCGGGCCCAGAAGGGACAAGCCACACGTTTACCCTATAAAAATGTCGACTCTCCTTCTTTCAGGGCGATCCAGAGAAAGATTAATACTCCAGGACAGAAAACAGTTTACCCCCAGAGAAGGTGACGGCCACCAGAGCCAGATCCTCTTCCGCATGTTGGATCTTTTCTGCCACAACTTTCAGGATCTCATGTGCCGTACTGGAAACTTTTGCCTTCACACTGACATAGGAGTGCTCCGTTACGTACACGTGGCAAAAAACTGCACACAACACAAGAATTGTTAGTCAATAGAGAACCGCAGTCATGAGGTACAGACTTTTCCAAATAAAGGCATCCACTTTCCTATTCTCGTCAGTATAAAACCTACACAACTCGATTTACATATTTATGTCTGCACATGGGTGCCTGAGGACATCCATATAGAAATTGGTGCCTGCCCACACCTGAGATACAGACGTAACGTTATAAAGCTGGTGAATGAGCATGCCAAGGATTTAGGCTTCCCAAACTAATGAGAGACCCATGTCATGGAAGCATGCGCTCATGGTGGAGATGGCCTGACCACGGCACGGGGGGTGGGGGGGATGGTTACAAGAACTATAGCTCTGAGTTCCTTCTTTGAGTGTTACTGAGATTTCCCAAAGCACTATATTAAGATATCTCACTCATAAATTTTTATTTAACACTCCATTTCTGGACAGTCACAGTTGGCTCAATCAGGAACACCACATTTTGCTATTAGAGCTCTCAAAAGCTTATCTAAAAAATCTGTCAGTTTGCCATGCTTTCTGTGTTCGGGTGTCTTGATCATTTAATAATGAGGTCCCTGATCAAGATGGGGTGAGTGTGGTTTCCAAATAGAAGTCACATTTCTAGCCCTTTAAGTTTCCTTTTTTATTGTCTGCAGTGCAAATAATTATTACTGGGACATCATCACTATCAGGGTGACTTGGGGTCCTGAAAAAATTTTCTTCATGACTTGAGAGTAGAAACTGTTTAATAGCAGTGGAGATAACTGATACATTATTTGTTTCTTACAGCAGCTACTTTGAATTATAAAATACTAGCTTCTTTCAAAAAGATAATACAATTAGATATTCTTCTCTGCCATATTGTAAAAAATAAAAAACAAAGGGGGAGTGCAGTTCCTAAAAAAACCTTACATGCAATTTAAATGGCCCCACAAAAAGAAACTCAGGATGGTTCCCACAGAAAGGCAAATGAGGCAAAAAAAAAAAAAAAAACTATGAGTTTAGGTGTAGGAACCTCAAAGTAAACACGCCACCGGAAGGCATTGACGATATTTTGATCTTGGCTTGGATTGGTACGTCACTAAAACAATAGCATCTCACAAATAGTTGTTTTATATGTTGTCAACAGACACGGGAGAGGCAAAAAAAGCTTTTTTGCTTCCACAGAAAAATGAAATTTTGAGCAAGACAAGATCCAGTACACAAACCACTGAATATGAGGAAAGCTTACTTAATAAACTGATGAACAAAAAGAGGCCAGGGGTCTTGAAATACTTATACTCTTTGTAATCAGCTTGGGAAATTATCTGATCAAACTATAGGACAAATCAGCCTGGAGGATCAGCAACTAAGGAATTAGGAGGTAAGATCATTTCTTTCCCAGCTTCCACAAACACTATGTAGCAGAAGCAGCCCGTGTGTGACACTTTGTTGCTTAAGTATGTGAGAAGCTGAGCAGACATGAAACCTTCACACTTAGAATTTCAGCACAGACCGAGAGGTGGGCTCAAAGAGAAATCTCCTAGTCACAAGAGCGTGAATGTTTCCACTGTTGTGTTTCCCCAGGCTCGGCACTTGACTCAACCTTTAAGCAAACAGGAGAAAACCATTTCCTGTTCTGTTACAAAGTAGGAAGAGAAGGCAGCACCTTCAGGGGGCTAAAGGGTGTGCCCCTGGTACCGAGCGAGTAGCTGTCCTCCGAGTGGGTCCTGAGCTCTGTCACCGGGGAGCAGTGGGGAGTGCTGACCAAGGGCGGGCGGACTGGGCCTGCGGCACTGCTGGTGCGAGAAGCCTTGCCTTGCGGGGGATTTCAGCTGCACGCTCTTCCTTCCGCTCTTCTCGCCAAGAGTCTCCTCTACATCTCAGGGACCGACCCCACCAAAGCCCTGCATGTTGGCTTTCGTGGACTTTCCAGTCAGTCCCAGGCAATGGGCTGACAGATCAAGGGAGAAAGCAGCCAAGAGGTATAGGCGATACCTACCCTGCAATTCTGCACCTCTCCCTAAGAAAGTAAAGAGGCTCTCCGAAGTCTTCTTTCCTTCCTTCCAAATTAAAAACGTCCTTGGTCCCTGAGACACTGGTGTATGAGCAAGAAAATTGCAACACTCAAAGCAAGAAAATAAAGACCACCGTATTGGGCGCGAACATGCTCGTCACAGGGGTGTGACGGCTGGAAATTCTCCAAGGCAGGCTGATGTGTTAATGCTGGACAATGAGGGTGATTAACCGCTACTCCACCTACCCCAAACCCTCGTTAAAATCATACTCACTTTCCTCTGTTTCAGTCACAGTTCCTCTATGCTGGAGCCAGTTCTCCTTAAGACTGAATTGGTGGAAAAGGGCTTTATTCTGTGAGAAGCGAGAAAGAGAACAATGAATGAATGCATTCCTGCCCTTTGGAAAACCACAGCTGTTTACAACATGTTCCAAAAGAGCTAGCCAATTTTCTTTCTTTTTTTTTTAAGTATGAAATCCACCCATCCAATTTTAGAGGAATAAATAGGGAGTTGCCTCTATTAATGCATGTGGAGGTAAAGATTCTGAGCAACATAACAGACCTTGGCCAAAGCCAGAAGCAGGCAAAAAGCTCCTATAATTATTCCCTGCAACATGCTGGAGAGTATTGGCATGATTTTGAACTCTGGCTACTACAAATACCCACAGATTCTTCTCTAGAGAGAGACACCCCAACATTAACCATGCTTTTGGATAAAGCAACTTTGAGACGGTTGCATATTTCTGCCGTAGCACAATGACTTGCTTAAGGGAAATAAGTACATTATTCATTCTGATTATCCACCCAATAGATCAGCTTCTACGAAACTCGTGCCTGACAACTCATTTTGCATTTCCCCTCCAAGGTGACTAGGAAACACACTCCTTCTTTCTCTTTCTGTCGGGTTGAAAAGTACTTCCTCACCCTTGCCGTCAAGATTCTTGCATGCATTTTTTTTCCCTTTTTTTGCACCAATGTTTCAAATTCAAATTTAGATCACTCTGGGAACACTGGGGAAACTCTGAGATTCCAAAAATATGCAGAATGTCCAGTCAAGGGCACATGGCTAGCACCCAGTCTGGATCTACAGCAGCACAGGCAAAGTGAAGTGAAGCAGCAAAGTGCGTGTAAGCCACAGTCCCAGGCTTCCCTGCCTGCCCCTGGTCGGCTTGAGGCAGGATTCATTTTAATTATGAAGAAATGCCAGCTGAGGCAAAGCAAGCTCTCCAAACTTGATGGCCCCATTTCGGATAGAGAAAGGTCTACCTCACCTTCCTTTGTGGTGAATATTCATCTACAGTGCTGAAAGGAAAAGGACAAGAAGTCAGTCTTTATCCCACACCTAGAATAATGCAGTGATTGTCACAGAAGACTAATTTTCAGGTACTGGGCAGAGGTTTCTGCTTTTCAGAAAGATAAAACCTAGTATTCATTAGGTCACTATGTATAACATCCTTGACATTGGGCTCTGGGTTTCGACTGAATAACGAAGAAAAGATGCTATCTCCTCAACAAGTATATTTTACTTTCTATGCACAGAAAGTGAGTGCTGAAGGAAGAACTGGATTTATTCAGTCCACAGAAACTCTAAGTTTTCTCATATACTGATAGATTTTAGGTGAAATTATTGTTATTCAGGTGGTTAAGTTAGCTAAGGCACATCTTTTCCAGAATGTTTCCATGGTGGTGGAAGTAGGGGACGTTCTGTAGGTCCCCAGCTCAAATCTTTTTCTAGAATCTAGAGATATCTCATAATCTTTTACTGAAGAGGCAAGAGTCATATCTTATATAATTTTCTTAACCTATTATTTCCCATTTTATGTAAGTTTTTTAATGGGATGTATGAAGTTCCATTAATGTACTGAATGCATTTAAATGTATCAAACCATGAATTAAGGTTTCCCAAGGGTAACCAGGCCTGCCTTACAGCAGAGACCAACCTCCATGTGGGTGATTATTTTGATATAAAAGTTGTCTCTCTTTTTCTTTCCTGTTTCAATTATTTGTTCACATTTTCATACTAGTCTTAGGTGCTGAGAACTTATTATGGTGTAGACCGTGACAAAGGAACATCACCCAAATTCCCAACATTTGTTTCTAACACTGTCCTAAACTGTGTCTCATTTCTGAATTTCTAAAAGTGTGATTTTCATGATTGAGGACTAAAGCTGATACATGATTTGTTTGTGCCCTAAAATTAATTTATGTAGACATTTAATGTGCAATAGGATCTCTCTTTACTAAAATTAGGTCAGGCTTTAAGTCTCAAATTAGTCATCTGAAAGGCCTGAATTAACATTTTCTACAAGAAGTGCCTCTGTGACTGCTGAAATCTTCATAGAAGTTTCTCACCACTTGACAACACATGCATTTCATGTTTACTAAGTAGAAAGTACACTGTAAACCAGAGAACAGTTTTTCCTTTCAGATTAACTTTGCAGCTCTATATGAAAACTGAATAAATGACCTGATGTTTTTCATTCACCAAAATTAATAAGGAGAGTTAGTGGTAAATCAGGTATTGGCAATCTGAAAGACAGATGACAGATACCTTGGGGATACTTACACATGCCAAAAGTCAGGGAATAAATGGTTTTCTTTAATCTTTCTAAATTGATAAATAAACCTCAGGGAATCCATAAAATGGAGCTTTAAAAATGCTTCATGACTTGCTGAAACCTATTTCTAAAATCGTTTTTTTTCCTATTCCATTAGAGATAGCTATGAGCCCCCCAAATGACAAGTTAAATATTTACACTTTTAAAATTAAATAATAACTTATTAAAGAATTGTTTTTATGTATCCAGGTTGTTATGGCTCAGTTGGTTTCTACCTATCAGTGTTAAAAAAAAATAGCCAATATTATGCAGCCATCAAAAAAAAAAAAAGAAATCTTGCCGTTTACAACGACATGGATGGAACTAGAGGGTATTAGGCTAAGCGAAATAAGTCAATCAGAGAAAGACAATTATCATATGATCTCGCTGATATGTGGAATTTGAAAAACAAGGCAGAGGATCATGGGGGAAGAGAGGAAAAAATGAAACAAGAGGAAACTAGAGAGGGAGACAAACCATAAGAGACTCTTAATCTCAGAAAACAAACTGAGGGTTGCTGGAGTGGAGGGGGGTGGGAGGGATGGGGTGGCTGGGTGATGGACATTGGGGAGGGTATGTGCTATGGTGAGTGCTGTGAATTGTGTAAGACTGAGGAATCACAGACCTGTACCCCTGAAACAATACATTATATGTTAATTTAAAAAAATAAAAAATTTAAAAAAATAAATAAAAACATAAATTAAAAATCGGCATTAAGTGTGAAAAAATAAAAAAAATAGCCAGTAAGCTTGATTTTGTGTTCATTCATTTTGATCTAAAAACAAAATACACAATTCACTACTAGAAAAGCTAAGGAATCAAGGGATCCCAGATTCAAAGGGTCCAAGGTGAAATTTGTAAGACACTCAAATTCTATCACATTTGCTGCTTTCTTTTATTAACTGTAATACGGAAAATTAAATACTCACTGACGACGGTGCATTCCAAGTATCTTCTGAAATTCTTTCAACTCTTTTTCAAGTATTGGATATTCATATACATCATCCAGTACATTCCTGTATATAGTCTGGGGGGTGGGGGAGAAAGAAAAATGGCAGCTGAAAGGCCTATTTTGTAAGGATTAGGACTTACACGATGGTTAACCTGCTGAGGGAATAGGTGGAATGCGGAATCATACAGGGGGTTAAACCAGGTACCAGTGAGATCCTAAGTGGGATTCCGCCTCCTAGTGCTTCACTCAACTGTTTGGCTCTCACAGCTTTCAGGGGCCATAAGTAGTCAATGCTGGAAACTTAGAGACACCTGGAAAACTACTCAAGATTTTCATGCCTATTCTACATTAAAAAAATAAATATCCACATAGTCATTTGGAAAGGAAAAAAAAAAAATCGAATGAATCCTATTACCCAGCTGTTTTAAAAATAACATTAGTTTTTGGGATGCCTGGGTGGCTCAGTCAGTTAAGCATCTGCCTTGGGCTCAGTGGGATCGAGCCCCACGTCATGCTCCCTATTCAGCCAGGAGCCTGCTTCTTCTACCTCTACCTCTACCTCTTCCTCTGCTGCTCCCCCAGCTTTTGTTGTCTCTCTCTCTCAAATAAATAAAGTCTTAAAAAAATTAAAAAAAGAAAATAACATTAGTTTAGGCACAGAGTGGTTAAACCAGTTTTGAACTGGATGTCTAAAGGACACCTGACTTTTGAAATCAAAGTGAATTCCTTCATGGAAGGCAAAATCAGTTTGAACACTTGTCCATTCTGAAATAGACCTGCTCCCAGCTCAAATTCCATTCTACCCTTTCTCTGTGTTAACCTGCATAGCTAATATGGTTTTGGTGGCCAAGGGAGTCCAACTGTCTACATATTATCTCCAGAGAATCAGCTGTGTTCAAAAGGTATTGCAGCTATTAATGATTAGAAAAACCTATCAGTTTATCTAGGGGCGCCTGGGTGGCTCTGTCGGTTATGCATCCGACCCTTGATCTCAGCTCAGGTCTTGATCTCAGAGCTGTGAGTTCAAGCCCCATATTGGGCTCCTCCTTGCTGGGCATGGAGCCTACTTAAAAAAAAAAAAGAAAGAAAAGAAAGACAGATATATCAGTTTATCTAATTCCAAATGTAAATCTAGGTTAGTACCCATTTTGCAACTTACTCTTACTATTGCTTAAAATTCTCAAAATACATCACAGTCTGAAAACCTTTCATAATGTATGTCTTGTCAATATAGTTTTTAAATGATAATGTTTTATCCAAATATTGTGTATATGGGACTGGTTAGTTCAAGCTCAGAATAAATCTCAACATATTGAATAGTGTCAAATTTTCAGATATGTTTTATCTACCTTAATTATTTCATCTGTAATCAAAATTCCCATGAATAATATAAAATAACCTTAAATTAGCAAATGTAAACCTGGCTGCCTACATTTTTTTCATAATGAATTATTTTCAATTAAAGAAATTTCTATGTACAGAGTATCAGGCCTCAAAAATCAAAACAAATTAATATTTTCTTTAAGTCACAGCTTGAATATGACAAAAAAGTTGCATGACTGCCACCTACAAAAGAGATTTTTGAAGTACATAACTGAAAATAAAATCAGTCATTTGGCATCAAAGAATATCTTGAAATTTTACATTACCTTTAAGAACATTTTTGAATGTTCGTCTTCATGTAACCAGTCTTTGTAGAGAGCAATCCACTGGGACACAAGATGCAAGACCTTTCGTTTCCGACAAGGAACATCTGAGTTTTCTTCTTTGCCTTGATACTTCTTAGCAGAATAGGTGGAAATGGTTAAGAGAGAATATTGCATTGTTGGAAATCAAAATATGAAGAGATCCATTTATTCTTATTTTCACAAAACATGCTAAAGCATTTGCCAAAGAATCTGCAAGTACCTAAGCATGTGGGAAGAAAAGAGTATTCGTAGCAAGGGCAAAAGGTGTGCACCAGAAAGAGCAAAAGTAAGTAAACCCAGGAAAATGACTTCCACGCGCCCGGTGGCAGGTCGTGAAGGTTAATGAGATGATTTGCATTGACAGCTGCTGACAGGCACGGGTCGATGCCAGCATGAAGACATTCTAAGTGGCCCACGAATTTCAAGGGTGGCTACAGCAGAGTTGCCCTCACTACGTTAGGTAGATACTTTCCATAAAAATTACATCAGAACTAGGCCAGATATCCTCTGATCTTCAGAAATTCACAATTTATAAAAGCAGTCACTTCTCAATTAGCCCCAAGGAGCACCGATTTCTGGAGTATAATTCGTGATATGATTTAAATGCCCACACCCAGGACTTCGCTTGGAAAAAAAGACTGGATAAACTTGTAAACATAATTAAAAAGGACTGCTACTTTTCATCTTCATTGGAATAAAAAAAAGTAAAATAGGAGTAACCTAAATGCATCAAACACTGTGGATAGTTAACTAAATTATCACATATCAGTTAACAGGCAATCTACAGCCATAAAACTGATTGTCTAGTAGTGCATTTATAGACAGTGAACATTCACAATGTACTGTTGAGTAGGAAAGCAAGTAAGAAAATATGTTGGGATCATCCATTTCCATTAACTATGCTTATTTATAAGAAAAATGTCATCACCCGAAATGATATATGTTGAAAGTTAACAGTGGCTAACTGTGCAGTTCAAATTACATAAAAATAACAACCTCAAAAGCAATGTGCTTAAAGCCTTGGGAATGAGACAGAAGCTTGGCATTCTCCAAACCAACTTAGTGTTTTTGTTCCCTAAATTATTATTTCTGACTATCGTGAGCATACTGGAAAGTTACGTAGGAAAAGGACATGCTATGATACCAAAGACAGGTAGGCTTTGGGGTTGCTGGACAGGATTCTTCACTCTTTAATGCTGATATACAACTGCAAAATAGGTGTATCTATGTCGGCCTTTGTAAATATTTTAAAACATACTTTAATCACTGTCTCCCCAACCTGCAAAAATACATTCAGGCCATTTGATTTTTTTTTATTTCTACATGAGAAATAAACTCAGGCAAACACACAAAGAATCAGTTAAAGCACCCATTTTTTCCTAGTTTTTCTCTTAACAGACAAAATATAAAATTTTATAGCCTTAGTCAAAGACTCAAAACATGGTCATATCCAAGTGAAGTTTTAGAGATTCTTCAGGGAAATTCTACAAGGCATTAAATTACTCAATAATAACCACAAATAATACTAGAATCCTATTTATTTATTTTTACTTAGAGAGAGAGAGAGGGATGTGGGGAGGGGCAGAAGGAGAGAGAGAATCTTAAGAAGATTCCACACCTAGCGTGGAGCCCGACACGGGGCTTGTCTCAGGATCCTAAGATCATGACCTGAGCCAAAATCAAGAGTTAAATGCTTAACTGACTGAGCCACCCAGGTGTGCCTATTTGGATCCTATTTAAAAACAATGGTTTGAAGGCATCTATTTGCTATGAAGCAAACTGTATGGTTTAATAGATGGTAAATACTTTTGGAAAAGCCGTTAGCATTAATGTAGAAGAAATTAGCTCAGAGTTATTTTTCTAAAACGCTGTTAAAGAAGGAGAACTTGAAAACCTTGTAATTATTGCAGAATTTCTTAGTAACACCCACTTGGAAGCTGTGGAAGAAGTCTGGTTTTGAAATTCTCCAAATTCAAAATGAATAATGTTTCAAGATCAGTTTTATGAACTGGTTTGAAAAAGCTTCCCAAGATCTGTAGCTTTGCGTGGCCATGTGCACATAGCAAAGCACTAACAAGTAATCACGATTTCTAGTTTATATGTTTATTAAGAGAAATTTTATTTCAGTTACACCCTTTATGGAGTTTTAAGGTATTCTTTTAAGCAGGAAAAGGCTATCAAGTAGGGGGGAAATGTAACAATTATTTAACAGGAAAAGAATACTACCAAGGCCATTACTGTTAGGGCTCAATAAAACTCAGGTATATGCCAAAAAAAAAAAATTCCATCTTCCTAAAAATGTTCACCTGGCTCTAGCGGACTCTTCAGTTTGGTTTGATAAATACCTGACAGTTAACAGGCTTCTTAAATGCTTCTCAAGCACCTTCCTTGCACACTGTGAGTCAAGAAGCCCGAACGGAGACTCTGAGTAAGTTTATTTGGCTTGGTTTTTTGGCCGTTCATCTGTTACATCACTTCTAGTTCATGTATCAAATCACAAAGCTTCCTTACCTGGTCATTCACCTTCTCATCACATCTGTCATTCTAACCGAGCATGTCTTCACAAAGCTTCTGAAAGCTGACAGTTGCTTAGGGGGTAGTTTTGACCTCCCATGTGGGGGACGGCTCATCTGGCCTCAGGACATTTGCAGAGAAACATGGTTTTATGTACGTATGTTTTCCTGCCCAAGTCCCCTGGCGCTAACCGCCCGATTGTCTTACAAGTTCACTTATTGCCCGTCCAACTCAACCTCTTGACTCTGGGCTTTACCCAGTGGACCAAACTTACCTCCAGATTTCTCAAGTCTTGAGACCTACGTTTGAAGAAAACCTAATACAAACGGTACAATTTACCCACAACCCAGAAGGCGAAAACAGCAGATCTGCCTTCCAGGTCCCCCTGTCTATTCTGTCTCATTTCATCTTTTACCTTGGATATCATTACATTAATATTTAACATATCCACACTCTACTGAGGGGCTGAGTAAATTAAGAAAGGCAGTTAATTCCTAATGCGAGACGCCTGTCTGAGAGGAAGCCGATGCAGCATCCTGAAGTTAATGAAGGATATTGCCTCAGCAGCGCCTGGCACAGGTCATCAGTCGTCATGAAGACCGTGTACGTGAGAAGGAAATCATCAAGGAGCGTCTCTGCGAAGAAAGAAAAACAAACACAAGGTAAGCACACCAGTGACAAGAAGGGCAACTGCTTATTCAGGCTCTCAAACAGAAATACGATAAATGGTGGTGGGTGTGGGAGGGGTTAGGATAGGAGAATTTTAGCCACAAAATACATTATTTGTTGAAGATTTTTTGAGCTCCTTACACAGAATACCTCAAGCAATGGGATTATTTTTTTGTTGCAAGGCTCTCTAAACATACAACTTTTGTCATCTTTTTCACTCCCTAAAACATCATTTATTTTTGTGGGTAAAGATGTTATGGAAAACCAGTGCATAAATAATGTCCTTTTAAAGATAAATTTTACATTATTTCTGGGGTATATGCTCCAGTTCTACAGGGAATGAAGCCTGCATGTTCTAATAAATCAAGGCTTTCTATAGCCATTTACCTAAGTCTAGGGCAAGAACAATGGATAATAAAACTTAGAGGACACATAACAGGTTCTGAAGCCATTCATGTTTCTCTCTCAAATGCATCTGTAAGAAGTTGCGAAAGTGGTGGGTGATGTTACTGCTGTGGAGAGAGACAGAGCTAAGTCCCGTTTAATACGGGAGCAGGTATAACATATCACAATATACTCCTTCCCAATCCCTTCCCTACCTCCTCAACTGACAAAAACAGCTTTGATTTTTATTGCTTCTTGGCCTTGTGTGTTTTTGGAAAAGTCCAGCTTACATGTAATATGGAACAGCTAAACAGGTAAACTCTGACCCTGCAATACAATTTCCAAACTGATAGAAAAAATTACATGCAGAATGCGAAGTAGAGCTCTTGCCATAATAGTCTTTATCCAACCTCCTGAACTTAAAATTCACTTTACTATTATATCATTTTCATGTCTTTTACATCCAGACATCAAATTTCCAGTAATTTGAAATAGTAATTAATCACTTGTAAGAATAATGAGCTTGTACACGCAATAGCATTTATGTTCTCCAAGAGCTATACTAAATGTGTAAGTAGAAAGAATTGCCCTGTATAGAGCTCTGCATGTCTATGTTGAAGACTGGAAAAATTCCAGAATTTATAGAAATAACCAATAACGTTTACTATAAAAACCGATCAATGCAAAACAAGGCTATGTTTACGAACACAAAACTCTGATATAAAGAGGTAGTGAATGACATCTCCATTCCTTATCAGCTGTCCCCAGTTAATTCTGTTTTGTTTGATTGCAGAACATAAAGATAATCCCAATTTACACCAATAAGTGGTTGCAAATGGTCATGTTAAAAAAAAACAAAACTTGCTTTCTAATTGCAAAATGCCCTTAAGTGAAATGAACCAGAGATGCTAATGAAGAGTATTAAGAAAGTTTTTTTATTCAAAGATATCTATTTATGCTAAGTAACAGTATTCCTTATTAAAAAAATAAGTTTGACAAATGGCACCTATTTGTAAAATAAGCCGACACTTAAAATTTAATCACACCACAATATATTAACAGTTACTGCTCCAGCTTACTGTTAGTTGTAAAAGTAAGTTCTCAAACAGATGTGTCTGGGCCTTGCTAGGCAGAAACTAAGACCTATCCATTGTAAGTGTGTAAAGGGAAAGAAGAGCCTGGCATAGAGTTCTACAGCTCTATGCTGAAGATAACTATGGGAGTCTGGCCAGTTGGACAATTTATTGTGAGAGCACACTCACAGCCCGCACTCCCAGAAGGCCTGGGAGCCCTCTCCTAGAGGCCCGGTTTACAAAAGTTACTGGCAAGCTGTGACCTCCAACATAATTTCCAAATTCACAGGAAAGATTCCATGCAGTTTCAAATATTCATCTGCCCGAAAAAGAAGGAGAACCTGTATTCTAAGATCTGCCCTCAAAACTAGTTAAACATAGCAGAAGAAGTTCATCACTTGGTTATCCTAATGAAAACCTTGAAATACACATTTTGAAGCTTTGTGTGTCCTTCATCACAGTTTTTAAAATAGTGTCAAGAAAAATCAAACAGTGGCATAATGTCTGAACCCCCAGGACATTTTGAAATACAACTTAAAAACTATCACTCTGGGACACTACTGAACAGGGATGTTCACCGATTCTAACACTGCTCTGTACAGTTGATGAACATCCTCAAGTTCTCTGCTCTCATTAGAAATTGAGTCTTTTTTGCATCCAGTGTTAGTACAGGCAGCAAGAACCACAGAGTAGCCTAGAATCTATTTTAGGGGTCTCTGTGGGCTCTTAGAGATCAGAGCTGGAGATATACAGAAGCCACTGGGTGAGAGCCCTGAGAACCTCATGCATTCAGCATTCAAAATGCTTGATGGGACATAGGTTCAGCCTGTTTGGAATGTTCTTACACTTAGCTGATTTAACACTTAGCTGATTTAAGGAGGTTGGAACTATTCTCTAATCAAAATTTACTCCATTAGCAACTGAGATGAAAAAGAATGCCATTAAACTTTGACATAACCAGTCATTCCATTCTGGAACAGCCTTGGATAATGAGCTGAGTGACTTTAAGAGTCTGGTTTATATGGTGGCAAAACCATTTGGCATTCAATTCAATTAATGAGCTCACATATGACAATATTTTGTTAAGGGCTTTGACCCAGAAATGCTTTCCCCTAAGCAACTACCATATTTAATATTCAACAGCATTTACCTAATTATCTCTTTGCCATAGAAATAGTAATTAAAATAAAAACAACAAGGCTACATAAAAACATCTCCAGTTAAAATCCTACTGAACTGCTAAAAATCCTCATCAACAGAACAGATTCCCAATACCCTTGATTCAAATCTTTCCCTACTTAACTACCATATTGTTATGAAATTTTTCTCTATATAAAGAGCTTTCCCTTACTCTTTTCCAGCACTGGTATTTTTTTGCTGTGTATGAAAGTAATTGAATGATATAATCAAAATGACACACTTGAAATAAAAATGCATTTTATAATAGCCATGTATTAAAAAAGGCTGTCCCTTGGTATTCAGAGATATTTTTAGAACCACAATGGCTATATAAATGATCCCCCGAAGACTATTAGCCAACAATAGCCATTTAGAAAGACTAGCACATCCTCTAGCATCCCCATTAAAATGCTATAATTATCTATTATATTATATAGTGCTTAATTAACAGTAATTTAAGACTCTAGGCAGAAAAGCACCTTTGTGTATAAAAGCATCTTTTGTTTAAACAGATTCATAGTTGCCATATACACTAACATTCTGAATAAAAAGATATATTCATTATGCTTTCTAACTCTGTGAATACCTAGGTATTAATAGACAGAAAACCTTTCCTTTGAAATTCTATTCATTAAATCAATCACTAAATCTAATCACAAATTCCTGGCTCATCACGGACAAAAATATTCAGCCATCCTTTTGGGAATACCCCCCACTCCCCCAAATCAAAGAATATTTATGTTGTGGCTTTTTAAATATAGGAAGTACTCTTGCAGTGTAAAAGAAACATGCTGATAACAATCAAAACTGGAAAGCAAATATATTACAGTTTTAAGCACTATGTTCACTTAAAATACATCAAGGTGTAGTCAAAATCTAAAGCTTTGATAGAAATGACTCTAAAATCCACGTCTACTATTTACTGTAATGATGTTAATACAGGACTTTTCTCTCTCATCTGTTACTGTTTTAATTTTAAGGTATAAGAAAAGAATTGTCCATTTTCATTTGATTTTACTTGAATGTATTTTTCTTTTACGCAGATATTAAAATATTTTCTCATTCTAAGTGTATCAAGCACTAAAAACTTCCATTTATTTCTGTAAAACACAAGTGTTTCTAGAGCATCCTAGAGTTGTGTCAGGTGGACTAGTAATTGGTTTGGTACAGATCCTTTTTATAGGGTTCTGTTATGTAAATGTAATCAAATCAGAGGAACGGATCTAAATGTTTCAAAAAGGTCTAAGCTTAATGCTTTTTTTTTTTTTTTGGTGTAAGTGAATTGCCAAGAAAGCAAATGATAAGAATTTTAACAGACAACTGCCTATAGTCGCTATTTAAACTAAGTATGGTAATGTGAATATTCAGCATTTCTATAGTGACCCATATTCCCTTAAGTACTGTTAGCAGTTTTGTTTCACCTATATTTCTACTTCAGATGCAATGGAATTTAAGGCACTCTAAAGTAAGTTCTACTTAAACTTTATTTCGAGAAGCCAAGAAAAACTCCATACTTGAAAGTTCTTGTTTCTGGTCCTGGAATATTACAACTTGCCATTATTTTTTGAGAAGCAGTGCCAAAATGTACCATGTAATTTGATGAAGCACAAAATAAAAAAAAATTAACGTTCATGTCTGAATCACAGGTTAAAGTGCTATGCCGCCAAGAGCTATGCTTTTTTTCTCAGTTTATTTTACATTTCTGAAAGCAATATTCATGACCTCAAGTGCAACTGTTTACCACAGCTTTTAAATTCACTCAATTCCGGCACATTTTTACAATTCACCAGAGTATTGCTTAGTCATTCTAAAATGACCAAATCTTGAGATCTCATTTTATTTTTCCTTATTGGTTACATAAGAAATGCTTATTCATTGAATGCTGTTTCTACGTTGAATTTTAAAAGTCATCTCTTTCATGACAGAGCTTACTACACACAGAGCTTGGGTGGCACTCTTCAAATAGTGCAATCTGCTTTTATTGTAACTTGAAAAGTTTGGTTTTGGAATCCCATCATTCCTTAGGAAAAAATAATTTGAATACAACAGGAATTATGTTCTGAACTATATTACATTCCACAGGCTGCCTTTTAAAAACGTCACTAGACGGAGCATGGACTAATAAACCCAGGGCTTGCCCATGTTCTCCACACCAAGGGTCATGTTTGCAAGTCACCCTTGGGCAGGGAGAGAGGTGACAGGCCCCCTGAGCTCCTGCTGTCCCAGCCCTCAGCTGCTCTCAGCGTCTAGGCACACTTATAATTACAACCCATTTGTGGCTCATGCGTGTGTCTGTTAAACCTGCTGGGAAGCTTAGAAAACAGTGGGGA